ATGCAGTGCTAATACTGACCACTAGAGGGTACCAACCACACACTTTGCTCTCCTCTTTCCCTGAGCCTTGGGGCGGGGGCGGGGGCGGGGGCGGGGGCGGGGGCTCCCCCAGGTCCCTGGGAGGACGAATCTACACTTGAGGTATTGTCCCAGGTCCTTGGACCTGCAGCAGGGATACAAACCAAGAAACAGAAATCCTGGGACAGACACGGACCACAAGCGCTTCGTCCTATGCCCTGAAACCATCAGAGAATCTAAAAGTTGTAAGAGCTCTGAAGGTTTGAGTCTCTTCCCCAGCTTTGGAACTCAGAACACATCAGGCCGAAAGATGCCCTGGATAAAAAAAAAAAAAAAAAGTCCTTTCTCCAGAGCAGGTAGTGTGGTGCTACTCAGTTATTTAGTTATTTTAGTTTCTTTATTTTATTTTATTTCTTTTTTGTGATGGAGTCTCATTCTGTCACCCAGGCTGGAGTGCAGTGGCATGATCTTGCCTCACTGCAACCTCCACCCCTGGGTTGAAATGATTCTCCCTCCTCAGCCTCCCTAGTAGCTGGGATTACAGGCTCCCACCACTATGCCGGGCTGTTTTGTACTTTTTAATAGAGAGGGGGTTTCAGTATGTTGGCCAGGCTGGTCTCGAACTCTTGATTTTAGGTGATCCACCCTCCCCTGGCCTCCAAAATACTGAGATCACTGGCATGAGCCACCGCTCCCAACCCAGTAATTTCAGCTTTTAAATCCCTCTGAGTGCAGGGATCCTGCCCCCAACACAAGGGGCTCTTTGCCTCATTTTGTCTTTCCATAAGGGGCAGCTTGTTCTTTCTCTATTCCCAGGTGAGAATGGCCAGTGGCATGGGGTGCCTTGTAGAAACCTCACAGCAGGACAAGGCGAAGGAAGAGAAGGCCAGGACTGAGCCTCCTGTCTCCTGGTGCCCAGAGTTGGGGCTATTTCAATACCATCTGGAGGTCACAAGCATCTGATGCCCCCAGAGGTGAGAGCAGGAAAGAACATCCTCACGGGCACTGAAATCATCCCCCGCTGAGTTTAAGAGCATCTAGCACTTGACGCTATAGAAACAGAAGCAAGGAAGCAAGGAAACGCTTCTAGAAGTGGTTGGCTGTGGTGTTGGCAACCAACATTGAAACCCACAGCCCTGTAGCCCAGGATGTGAATGCTGGGGCCCTGCCATCTCCCCCCTTTCGGAGCAGAAGACAGACCTCCTTTTTCTGCCGTCATTCCCGAAGCATTACCCGATCAGCAGCCCAGACTCATCATCTGCTGGGAGGGCCCTGGGCTGTGGGCTGTTCTCCAGGCAGGGCTGCAGGAGGGTCCAAGAGGGGTGTCATCAATGATACCAGTTCTGAGAAAGCTGGGGCCCAGGGAGGGTGGAGACACCTCTTTCTCCATTCTCCTTCCAGCACCAGCAAAGAGGAGGAGCCAGGTGGGAATGGAGGAGGGTCCCTGAGCTCCACTTAGCTTCTGCCTCCCCCACCATCCTTCCTCCAATGTGAATTGGGACAGACGGCGCCCCATGACAGGGTCTTTTAGCCAGTGTTGGGGACTTAGATGTGGATTTTCGGCCATGGAAGAAGTCTCCAGCCTCCCTTAGGAATGAGCCCTAGCAGGGGCCCTAACTAGGGATCACTGCACAACTCCGCAGATAGGCACAGGGTTGGTGAGGCTCCCTAGACGGGTTACTGCCAGGAACACGTGGGAGCAGCCAGGGTACGGGAGTGTCTCCTGTCACCTCTCCACTTCTGTTGACCCCAGAGTTATGGTGACTCAGAGGACTCCAGGGAACCCTGGGGAAACAACTTTACAAAGGGTTACCATGGCAACCATGGACCAGAGGGAAGAACTGAGGCCCACAGGTGTGGGCAGAAGTCGGTGATCCTTTTCTGTAGTCTCGATCTTCCCAGGGCCTTGAGCAATGGAGACCACGTCCATCATTCATTGCTAGTAAAAAATCAACTTTGAATTAGACTTGAGATTTTCCTGACAGTCCCGGGAAGTGGCCCACTGTTGGGGCATCACTTGGGGCCAGATCCCTGGCTCCTGCAGGCTGAGAGACTACCCAACAAGAGCCTCCGCATGGCCAGTGGGGAGAGGCTGGGCTTCACATCTCTGGTTTCAGCCTCAAAAGGCTCAGGATAGGCCAGACACTGTGGCTCACACCTGTAATCCCTCCACTTTGGGAGGCCGAGGTGGGTGGATCATGAGGTCAGGAGTTCAAGACCATCCTGGCCAAGATGGTCATATCCCGACTCTACTAAACAAACAAAAATTAGCCGGGCATGGTGGCAGGCGCCTGCAATCCCAGCTACTCAGGAGGCTGAGGCAGGGAATTGCTTGAACCCGCAACATGGAGGTTGCAGTGAGCTGAGATCACGCCACTGCACTCCAGCCTTGGTGACAGAGTGAGACTCTGTATCAAAAACAAAACAAAACAAGACAAAAATCTCAGGATAATCTCACAATCATCTTGGTTCCTTTAAAGAACCTCCCTTTATAATTTAGGATTAATGAATTTCTCTGTGTGTTTGGAAGCCCTTCCTATGTCCAACCTTGACTAACTTTAGGGTTCTGTGTGCCTGCTGTGGAAAGTCGCAGATCTGCTGTTGATCCTAAAGTGGTGTCTTTCAGGCTTTGAGATCTCCTGTTAGGTTCAAGACTGTGGGGTTGAGGACAATCACATTTTTCGAAGCCATACTCACCGGGTCTTAGGGATCGCCTCCGAGGGACTGGTGGGCGCTCCTTCCACTCCCACTTTGGTGATTTGCGGCGCACACTTCCCACCTGCAGCTCTGTTCTTTCTTCCTTGAGATCAGAGGCTGTTTATCGTACTGGGACATACTCTACCTCCTTTTGGCTTCTAATATCCTTTCTCTGAGTTCGGTACCGAGTCAATTACTCAGCTCATTGGATTAAGGTCTTCAGGGAATATTACGTGGGGATTCCCAAGGGCTCTCCTAGGGGAGGTGAGGAAGATGATCAATACTTCTGCGTGTCCACCATGTGCTTGGGACTCTACTGAGCCATAGGGATGTGAGTGAGGATACTGAGGCTCAAAGAGATCAGGTGGCTTGCCTGGAGCTCTCCCACTATCCAAGGCCTATCCAAGGCCCCCAGGCTTTCCTTCCATGCCAAGATCTTTAGAAACCTCATCTAGTAAAGATGGTGGCACTACTAGGCATGGACAGAGCTTGCCTCAGTGCAAAGCTAGCAGGACAGGGGTCAAGTCCCTGCACAGAGGATGTTCCATGAAGATGGGGGGAATTGAACATGAGGAATTCAGCAGCAGAATGAGGTGCCTATAGGCATTAAGGAAAGTGGTAGAAAACAACCACCCAGTGTAGCTCGGTTTAGTGAACCGAGGCACATCATGCTGCCTATTTGTATTGCACGTTTCAGTGTACATCGTGTTTCACTTCCTGTATCTCGTTGGACCCTTAAGCTTGCCACATGATATGGCCGGGGGTTCAGGCACGGAGAAAGGGCCTTGGAAGGCTTGGGAGGAGAGGGGCAGGCACTGTTGTGTGTTGATGGGGTATTGTTTGCACTGGTTGATGATCTCTGAACAACCAAGAAGTACATAACGATCTACCTAACCGGACGTGCTAAGTAATTTCACTTTGGGGATGATTCTCCAGGGAGACAATCCATTGACAGAGAAGTGAAAAACATCGAGATGTGTCTAGTAGTTGTAGGAAGTCTGGGGTGCTTTCCTGATGGGGTGTCCTCAGCTGGAAATAGCCTCTCCTTCCTTTGACCTGTCCTGTGGCTATTTGCAGACATTTTATTCCTCTTACCAGACTGTAAGCTCTTTGAGGCTGGATTTCTTTTCTTTTCTTTTCTTTTTGTTTTTTGAGATGGAGTCTTGCTCTGTTGCCCAGGCTGGGGTGCAGTGGCACGATCTCAGCTCACTGCAAGCTCTACCCACCCCAGGTTCACGCCATTCTCCTGCCTCAGCCTCCTGAGTAGGTGGGACTATAGGCTGTCCGCCAGCACACCCGGTTAATATGTTGTATTTTTAGAGATGGGTTTTCACCGTGTTAGCCTGGATGGTCTTGAACTCCTGACCTTGTGATCCACCCGCCTCGGCCTTCTAAAGTACTGGGATTACAGGCGTGAGTCACTGTGCCCGGCCTGAGGCTGAATTTCTGCCTTTCGTCTATTCATTCTTTCACTCATTCTTCTATTCGTTCATTCACCGATTCCACAAGTAGTTGTTGTCTATAACATTTGCCAGAGATTGTACCAGGCAGATGGGCATATCTAGATAAACAAAACACATGATCCTTTCTCTTCTGGAGCTAACAATCTACTGGCAGCAGAGATAATAGCAAACAAGTAAGTATGTAACAGTAAAATAGAAATTTGGAATTCGAAACATTCCCATGAGGTAAATAGGTAAGATATGGAGGGAGGGAATAAGCCAGAAGGTGACAAGACGAGGCAGCTGGCACAGCTCTAGGCCCGGAATTCAACAAGCGTCTACTGAGTGGACCCAGCACATGAGAGGACAGTGCTAAGCAGAGAAGTCAAATGTCCACTGGGCTGGGCATGGCCAGGTCGCCCATGCTGTGTCTGGACGTCCTCCTGCTGGTATAATTATTTTAAAATGACAGGACAGGGAAGGGCGCCATGGCTCATGCCTGTAATCCCAGCAATTTGGGAGGCCAAGTTGGGCAGATCACCTGAGGTCAGGAGTTGGAGACCAGTTTGGCCAATATGGTGATACCCCGTCACTACCAAAAATACAAAAATTAGCTGAGCCTGGTCGCGCATGCCTGGATCCCAACTATTCGGGAGACTGAGGCAGGAGAATCGCTTGAACCCAGGAGGCAGAGGTTGCAGTGAGCTAAGATCGTGCCAGTGCACTTCAGCCTGGTTCCCAATAGACCCCGTGGGCCCTACAGGTCGTCTTCCCAACCTGCCCCTTGCTCCATGTCACCACCCTCCTCCCCATAACATTATAGAAGGACACCTAGTCAGACAAAATGATGCAACTTAATTTTATTAGGACAAGGCTGTTGGACACTGGAGTGGCACCTTCCATGGCCAGGAGTGGCAATTGGGAGGGGTCACAAGGGATGCCACCCAGGCATCTAGAAGCCACAGCTGCCCTCCACAGCGCGGCACCGCACGGTGCACAGGAATGTCTCGACCTTGTTCATGTCCTTCCTGAAGCAGTAGAGCAGCCTGTAGTTCTTGAGCAGTGTGTCATCGTTGTGCGAGTTTGTGTCAAACTTGCTGTAGGTCTGCTTGAAGATCTGCCCAGTCCGGGGGCTGCCGTCTTCCAGCCTCTGCAAAGTGAAGGAAGAGAAGGAGAGGCTGAGCGCTTGGTCACTGTTGCCTCCCTCCCGCTCTCATTCATTCGTTTTCCTCCCTCCCCTTCAGGGTGTAGAGAGAGGCCTGGAGGATTCACGAGAGGAAATGAAGACTAAGGTGAGTTCTCTTAGGTCAGAGCCTGACTGCTAAAAAGAGGGCAGCAGTTTCTCTCCCTCACCCCTCGAAGCCAGTGGGGTTCCAGGATTGGGAACCCCTGGGGTCACCCTCACCCACATCAGCGTTTGGATGCCTTCCTCTAGGTTCTTTAGGTAGAGATAGACGTTGAAGTTCGAGTGCATACACCAGGTTGTTGGTAAACACACTCCTGAGTAACTGCACGGGCTCCAGCCACGACTGGATGAGCAGCAGGGAGATGTGGAGCAGCTCTAGGTTCTGCAGAGGAAGGACCAGCGGTTGCTGTGCTGCCCGGGGGCTCTGACCACAGGCCTCCCCCATCCCTGCCTGGGGGAGAAGGCATCCACTCACGGATTTCTGCTGTGTTTCCTCCTTGTTGGAGGGTGTCGGAATAGACTCTGAGAAGCAGAGGGAGGTCTCGGGGTTGCGCAGGAATGAATACTTCTGTTCCTTTGGGATATAGGCTTCTTCCTAGGAGAAGGACCACCCACCAAGGTCTACCCTGCAGACCAGCTCCCATTGTTACTTTTCTGGGAACCTCACTCAGCGTACGCTCATCTGCCTGCATTTCTGCTTCAGAAACAACCTGAGCTCCTTATTCTCTCCCAGGACTTCCCAGCAGGGAAAGTCACCCCTTCTTGCCACCCTGATGTGCACCCATTCCCCAAGAGCTTACAAACTTCGGTACGTGTCAGATGCAGCTTGTGCAGGTGATGGGCGCAGAACACAGCGTGTTAAAAAGCCAGGATAAGGGAATGGTTGGGAAGGCACTGCCCTCTTGAAGCCAAGGTAGGCAGAGCAGGGCAATAGCCAGAATTAGGCATGTCCAGGAGCCTGGGGAGAAACCGGAGGGCAACAGAGGGAATGGAGAGCAAGATGCCAGTGCTGTCCCTGCTCCAGGAGCTGTTTTTTTTTTCCCTCCCTCCAGGGACCAGGAACATTCTGAGATTGTCAAATATCTGGGCTGAGATGCCCCCGTCCCATCTACAGGGCTCCGCCTCTCCCCTCAGGACACATCGTGCAGAAATGGATTTTAGGGGCGCTTACCTGCAGCCATTGCAGCTAGGTGGCTGTCCACAGGACCCTAAGTGTTTCGGGAGTCGGGCCTTGGGATCCTGGAGCTGGTCTCTTGTGGGCCCTTTTTATACCCTGGCCCCTTATCTCTTGCTGCTTGACCCCACCTATTTCTCTGTACGTTTACACATGGGGCCACTGATGTACCTGTGCTAATGGCTAATTTAGAAGCTCCTCCCACACATGCTGGGATCATGCCCCCTGGCTTGTCATCTTTCCCTTCTCACCGTTACCAGCATCGTAAGAGTTGTGCACAGAGTGTCGGCCAGAGATACCACCCAACTTGTCCTCTCTTTAAGGAGCAGGTGGGTGCCCTCTGGCAGCACATCATGGTGGCCAACCTGAACACGGGGAAGGATGTCAGGATAGCCAGTCCTCGAGACCCCTACAGACCCATCCCACTCTCTATCCTATCCCTTTCCTCCTCCTCACATGTCTCCCCTCCACCCAGCAGAGATAATGTGTGTGTTGCGAAAAGGCACAAACACAGCCAATAGATTGTGGGGGTTCTGGGCAGGATTCAGTCCTGATTCCACTTTTGCTGACTCCTCCTGGGCCCGCCTGAGGCAACTGGATGCAGTGCTAACACTGACCACTAGAGGGAACCAACCCACACTTTGCTCTCCCTTTCCCTGAGTCGGTGGGCGGTGGTGGTGGGGGGAGCTCCCCCAGGTCCCTGGGGATGAAGAACCAGACTCATGGTATTGCCCAGCTCCTTGGACCTGCAGCAGAGATGCAAACCAAGAAACAGATATCCCGGGGACAGACACGGACCACAAGCGCTTCCTCCCCTAGACCTGAAACCATCAGAGAATCGAAAAGTTGGAAGAGCTCTGGAAGGTTTGAGTGTCTTTCCCAGCTTTGGAACTCAGAACACATCAGGCCGAAAGATGCCCTCTCCAGCCATGGAAGCCCCTCCTCTTTTTCTCCCCCTCCTTTCCAGAGCTGTATAGAGCTTATCCAGTTGCCAAGGGCCTGCCTGTGCATTCTCACGTCAGACCTGCCACTTGTCTTGTGAAGGAGGTGTTATTATCATCCCGTTTCACAGGTCAAGACACTGAGGCTGAGAGAGACTGATTGCATGAGCTACCTCAGCCAGGGCAGCAGATCTCCACAACCTTGCTCTTCCCACATTGTGTTACTCAAAGTCCTTTCTCTGGCCGGGCACGTGGCTCATGCCTGTAATCCCAGCACTTTGGGAGGCTGAGGTGGGTGGATCACTTAAGGTCAGGAGTGCAAGACCAGACTGGCCACCATGGCAAAACTCCATCTCTCCTAAGAATACAAAAATTAGCTGGGCGTGGTGGCACAAGCCTGTAAAAGTGGGAGGCTGAGGCAGGAGACTCACTTGAACCCAGGAGGCAGAGGTTGCCGTGAGCCAAGATGGTGCCACTGCACTCCAGCCTGCGTGACAGAGCGAGTCTCCATCTCAAAACAGATTAAAAAAAAAGTCCTTTCTCCAGAGCAGGTAGTGTGGTGCTACTCAGTTATTTAGTTATTTTAGTTTCTTCATTTTATTTTTATTTTTATTTTTGAGATGGAGTATCATTCTGTTGCCCAGGCTGGAGTGCAGTAGCACAATCTTGCCTCACTGCAACCTCCACCTCCTGGGTTCAAGTGATTCTCCTCCTCAGCCTCCCTAGTAGCTGGGATTACAGGCACCCGCACTATGCCAGGCTAAGTTTTGTACTTTTTAGTAGAGATAGATTTCAGTATGTTGGCCAGGCTGGTCTCGAACTCTTGAGTTTAGATGATCCACCCTCCCTGGCCTCCCAAAATAGTGAGATGGCGCGAGCCACTGCTCCAACCCAGTTATTCAGCTTCTAAATCCCTCTGAGTGCAGGGATTCTGCCCACAACATAAGGGGCCTTTTGCCTCATTTCGTCTTTCCATAAGGGGCAAATTGTTCTTTCTCTATTCCCAGGTGAGAATGGCCCAGTGGCATGGGGTGCCTTGTAGAACCTCACAGCAGGACAAGGCGAAGGCAGAGAAGGCCAGGACTGAGCCTCCTGTCTCCTGGTGCCCAGGGTTGGTGCTATTTCAATACCATCTGGAGGTCACAAGCATCAGATGCCTCCAGAGTGAGAGCAGGAAAGAACATCCTCACGGGCACTGAAATCATCCCCCGCTGAGTTTAAGAGCATCTAGCACTTGACGCTGTAGAAACACAAGGAAGGAACAAGAAACACTTCTAGAAGTGGTTGGCTGTGGTGTTGGCAACCAGCAATGAAAACCCACAGCCCTGTGGCCCAGGATGTGAATACTGGGGCCTGCCTCTCCCGTCTTTCAGAGAAGAAGCAGACCTCCTTTTTCTGCCTTCATTCCGAAGCATTACCCGACCAGCAGCCCAGACTCATCATCTGCTGGGAGGGCCCTGGGCTGTGGGCTGTTCTCCAGGCAGGGCTGCGGGAGGATCCAAGAGGGGTGTCATCAATGATACCAACTCTGAGAAAGATGGGGACAAGGGAGGGTGGAGACACCACTTTCCCCATCTCCTTCCAGCACCAGCAAAGAGGAGGAGCCAGTGGGAATGGAGGAGGTCCCTGAGCTCCACGTAGCTTCTGCCTCCCCCACATCCTTCCACCAATGTGAACTGGGACGGACAGATAGCACCCCGTGACAGGGCCTTTAGCTAGTGCTGGGGACTTAGATGTGGGTTTTTGGCCATGGAAGAAGTCTCCAGCCTCCTTAGGAATGAGGGCAGCAGGGCCCTAACTGGGATCACTCCAGAACTCCGTAGATGGGCACAGGGCTGGTGAGTTTCCTGAGACAGGTTACTGCCAGAAACACGTGGACCAGCTAGGGCAGGGAGTGTCTCCTCTCTCCACTTCTGTTGACCTCAGAGTTATGGTGACTCAGAGACTCTAGGGACCCCTGGGGAAACAACTTTACAAAGCGTTACCATGGCAACCATGGACCAGAGGGAAGAACTGAGGCCCACAGGTGTGGGCAGAAGTCGATGATCCTTTTCTCTAGTCTAGATCTTCCCAGGGCCTTAAGCAATGGAGACCATGTCCATCATTCATTGCTAGTAGAAAATCAACTTTGAATTAGACTTGGGATTTTCCTGACAGTCGTGGGGAGTGCCCACTGTTGGGGCATCACCTGGGGCCAGATCCCTGGCTCCTGCAGGCTGAGAGACTACCCAATAAGAGCCTCCACATGGCCAGGCGGAGAGACTGGGCTTCGCATCTCTGGCGTCTGCTTCAAAAGGCTCAGGATAGGCTGGGCGTGGTGGCTCACGCCTGTAATCCCAACAGTTTGGGAGGCCGACACAGGTGGATCACCTGAGGTAAGGAGTTTGAGACCAGCATCGCCATCATGGTGAAACCCATCTCTACTGAAAATAGAAAAATTAGCTGCTCATGGTGACGTGCGTCTGTAATTCTAGCTATTGGAGAGGCTGCGGCATGAGAATTGCTTGAACCCGAGAGGCAGAGGTTGCCATGAGCCAAGATCATGCCTCTGCACTCCAGCTGGGGCAACAGAGTGAGACTGACTTTGTCTCCAAAAAAAAAAGAAAAAAGAAAAAAAAGGTAGAAAAATCCTAATCTCTGAGGTCACCATTATCTAGCTCCTTACCCACTGAGAAGCACAGATGGGAAGCAGGAGCCCAGGGCCACCATGGCTCGAGCAGCATTATCATTTAGTCGGAATCCATAAGAACACCCTAGGTTTCATCTGGGACTCCCTGCCATGGGAAGATGGGAAAGAAGAGTTGACTCAAAGCAGAGATCTGCTAGTGCTCCGTTAGTAAGGAAAGCTGTTGGGTGGAGGGGACCACATTTGGGTGAGGAGAGGGAGCAGGGTGTGAAGGTAGTGAGGGAGTGTGGTGCACCGAACTCAGCTCTTTGGGAAACCGTTTTTGCAGACAAGCCATGGTTAGAGGAATCCCGATGCTCTGGCAAACAGACCTGGCTGGAAGGGATGGAACACAGGCTTGCTTGTGTCCCAAGGGAAACCCAGCTCCAGCCTTGGTGTGTACCTGGAATGGGGTGGTCTTTGACCTTGAAGTGCCACAGAAGGCAACCCAGAACCACACCAGAGCCTACTGCTGCACAGCCACTAACCAGCTGGGCTCTGTCAGCAAAGACATTGCTGTCATTGTTCAAGGTAAACTTTGCTGCTCTGCTGCCGGGCGGAGGATGGAAATCCCTCAGGGGTTTGGGATTCTTATCCAAGGATGAAAATAAGAAAGATTCTACTAGGTTGGGAAGAATGAGACTCAGAAGTGGGCCTGGTGGGCTGGGGTGGGTGATCCTCGTACTTTGTGACCTTCCTAACTCTGTCTTCTGTGCTTGGACAGGATTGGATGAAGGAATCAGCTCTGCCCTCTTTGTCGTTATTACCGTTGCCCTTGGAGTGGGTGTCATCACCATAGCACTGTATTTGAGCTATCGGCCCTGCAAAGTGGACGGGAGGAAATTGCTCTCTAGACAGAAGAGGAGGACAAAGAGGAGAAAAGCCAGTTTACTGTTGAGGAAGAGAAAAGTACAACTCATATAATTGACAGCTATTTGATGGAATGAGACTTCTGCTACTGTGGTTTCCCAGGGAGGGAAGAAGGGATAGAGGAGAAAGGAAGAAACAGAATGGCAGGCTGCATTTCCCTTTGTATTCTTCTGTCTGTAAAACAGTGTTTCAGGCCCCCATGTCCCAGGTCCTGTGTGTCCAGTACGTCCACAAGCTCACCTTTCCCTCTATCTCTCTCCCCTCCTTTTTTTTCTCTTTTTGAGATGGAGTCTCACTGTTGTCACCTAGGCTGGAGTGCAATGATGCAGTCTCGGCTCACTGCAGCTTCAGCCTCCCAGGTTCAGGTGATTCTCCTGCCTCAGCCTCCCCAGTAGCTGGGATTACAGGTGCACACCACCACGCCTGGCTGCCATTTCTTTATGGTTCCCACTGCCCTTTTCTCTTAAACGTCATGCTAAAGACAGGCACATCTTAGAAATGCAACTCATATGTCATGGTTTTCTGATTTCTAACTGGG